GTGGGGTGGGGGCCGGCGGACGTCCCCAATGTGTTGTCATCACATCGAGGATGCCCCCAAAGTCCCCCGCTGGGGGTGGAAGATGGACTTGGCAACCCTATCCCTCCCTCAACTCCACTCCTTCCCTTCCCTCTTTCTAAACATAATGCCTCGGGGCAGGCCCAACGCAAGGAAGACCTAGACAGAAGGCTTGCCGAACCCTTGCCTTCCCCGGGGGAGTCTGTAAACCCTACTGTCTTCGCCTGCCTCGTGTTGGGCCAGCCCTGAGGTGTCCCCCCCTTGATGCGTTTGCTGTAAGGGGGGGGCTTATCAGGAGAGGGAGGGAGGCCCAGGCTTTGTCCCGGCAATGTGGCAACGCCATTTCTGGCCCTCACCGGAAGTGATGTCATCACAGGGGAGACATCCAGGCGCTGCCCTGGTATTTGGGCAAAGGCTCTATGGTCAAAGCCATTTTTCACACACAAGTTTTGCCCAAAGGCCAGAGCGTTGCCCTGACAGCTCGACATGGCGACATCCTGTTGGGTGTTACAAGTTAAAAACACTTCAGTATTTACAGGGTTAATGATGTTTGTTAAGTCACATGTTTGTTTGTAACCAATCTATTTAGATTTAGATAGGATGCCCGGGAACTTTGGAGCTAGTTTGCTACTCTGATTGGAAACTAAGGTGCCAAGTATTAGCATTTTATGGCTTCTCTTCCCGTCTGTGTGTTCTTTGTTCTGACTAGAGAAGGAGACGCCATTTCTGGCGCTTCCCGTTTTACCTTTAGCTGTAAGGATGTAGGCATATTAGCTCTTTGTTATTTTATATCCTGTGTACCTTTTCCCATGTTAGGTTTATAGTAAACTTTTATATTTTAATACACACCATGGACTCAGTCTCTTTAATACTCCACTGAATTACTCAAAATGAATCCCATCACATCCAGGGCTATTTTTGGGCAGGAACACACAGGAACGGAGTTCCAGCGGGCTCCCCAGTTGGCCACACCCAGCAGGAACTCATTAGCATAATAGGCCACACCCAACAGCAGAAACTCATTAGGATTGGCTACATTAGGGGTGTGTGGCCTAACGTGCAAAGGAGTCCCTGCTACAAAAAAAGCCCTGGTTGGACAACAAACAAGGTAAACAGAAAAAGAAGCAAAAGGTGGGTGTGGCTGGATGACCACACTTCTGGTAACATGGGGGTGCAGCCTAATATGCTAATGAGTATGAGCTGTGCTGTCAGGGGTGTGGCCTAATAGGCTAATGAGTTCCTGCTGGGCTTTTTCTACAAAAGAAGCCCTGATGACATCACTTCTGGTACAAGCCCTGATGACATCACTTCTGACATAGCCTAGGCCTCCCTCCTGTGGGTGAGGGACCTAGCAACCCTCAATCTCTGTGGTACCCAAAAGGCCTGTACTGAGTAACCTCTCCTCTCTCTACAATTCTGTCTTTTCCAAATCTCTCCTCCACTTCCTCTCCCCTTTCAATTGATAAAGCGAGGGACTCATGGCTGTGTGTTCCTATCAGTTTTTAAAAGCTGATTAATAGCCCAGTAGTACTGTATGGCAGAGAGAGTGGGACTATAAGGAAGGCCGAGTGCTGAAGAATAGATGCTTTCGAATGATGGTGCTGGAGGAGACTCTTGAGAGTCCCTTGGACTGCAAGGAGACCAAATCAGTCCATCCTAAAAGAAATCAACCCTGACTGTTCCCTGGAAGGCCAGATAATGAAACTGAAGCTCAAATACTTTGGCCACCCAATGAGAAGGGAGCACTCACTGGAGAAGACCCTGATGCTGGGAAAGATTGAAGGTCAAAGAAGACGGGGACGGCAAAGGATGAGATGATTAGGCAGATCGAGGCAACGAACATGAAATTAAGCAAACTTTGGAGCACGACAGAAGACAGGAGAGGGCCTTGGCGGGATGTGGTCCATGGGGTCCCTTGACTGTGCAACTGAACAACAACAAAGAGCCCCATACCGCCACTTTGAAGATTGGGATGGGGAAGACATCACATGGAGATGCCCCCCCCCATGGAACAAAGGGTACCTGTGATGGGCTGGTTGAAATCATGGATGAGGTGAGGAAAGAACAGCCTGGACAAAAAACCCCTCCCAGGGAATATTCTTTCATCTTCAGAGGAGATGAAGAAGGATGGGAAATCCTAGCCACAGGTCTCTCGACTCTCTCGACTCAAGACTCATTTAACCTCGAGACCCTGAGCTTGTAGGCATAAGAACACAAGAAAAGCCCTTCTGGATCAGATCAGTGGTCCATCTAGTCCAGCATCCTGTCTCACATGATGGCCAACCAGTTCCCCTGGAGAGCCAATTACAGGGCATGGAGGTCAAGGCCTCCCCCTGAGGTTACCTCCTGCCTCCCTCTGAACATGGAGGTTGCCCTCAGTCACCATAACTAGTAGCCACTGATAGTCCCCCTCCTCCCTGAATCTGACTAATCCCCTTTTAAAGTTGCCTGTGCCTGAGGCCATCGCTACATCCTCTGTCAGCAAATCCCACATTGGAACCACTCTCTGTGTAAAGTAGTGTTTCCTTTTGTCCATCCTGAACCTACTGCCCATCAGTTTCATTGGATGCCCTCGAGTTCTAGTATTTGGGGAGAGGGAGAAAAAGTTCTCCTTGTTAACTCTCTCCACCCCATGCATGATTTTATAAACCTCTATCATGTTTCCCCGAGTCATCTCTCTTCTAAACTGAAAAGTCCCAGACGCTCCGACCTTTCCTCATAGGGAAGGTGCTTCATGTCAGGACAGGGGCTTTCCTGACATGTTTTCTTTAACAATGGACTTCAACAAATAGTAACCATGATTGTCTATTTGGCAGCCCAGTCCAATATCAGTTAGGGGCTGCCTTTGCGCTTCAGAGCTTCTACGCACAAGGCAGATGAGGGGTATTTTAAAGAAGCGTTCCTCAGACTGAGTTCAACCATGTCAACATAGGAAGCTGCCTCCTGCTAGAGACAGATCCTTGGTCTATCCTCCTCAGTATCACCTCCTCAGGACCACATCAGTATCACCTCCTCACGATCACCTCAGTATCACCTCCTCAGGATCACTTCAGGATCACCTCCTCAGGATCACTTCAGGATCACCTCCTCAGGATCACCTCAGTATCACTTCCTCAGGATCACCTCAGGATCACCTCCTCAGGATCACTTCCTCAGGATCACCTCAGGATGACCTACTCAGGATCACCTCAGTATCACCTCCTCAGTATCACCTCAGTATCACTTTCTCAGGACCACCTCAGTTTCACCTCCTTAGGACCACCTCAGTATCACCTCCTCAGGACCATCTCAGGACCACCTCCTCAGGACCACCTCAGTATCACCTTCTCAAGACCACCTCAGTTTCACCTCCTCAGGATCACCTCAGGATCACCTCCTCAGGATCAACTCAGGATCACCTCTTCAGGACCACCTCAGGATCACCTCCTCAGGACCACCTCAGGATCACCTCAGCAGCACCCCCCTAAGTTCTCAGCCAGAAAGCTGCTACCTGGTATCCTTCAATAGCTGGGATTCAATCTTTGCATACACTTTCTCCAGTGGGGCTCCCGCCTTGTGGAAAGGCCCACCTGAGGAAGTAAAAAAACCCACCTCCCACTCTCCTGGCTTTCTGAAAACTATGCAGAGAAAAGGGGGCCGCACCAAGGCAAAATGAAGGCGAGAAGACAAATCGTGCAAAGGAAAGAAGCTTATTGATTGTGTAACCCCCAACGCGTTTTGAGTGCAGCTTCGTCAGGGGGAATCTATCAAAAATAATACGAATGTAAAAATATATTTAAGACATCGTTTCAAAAACAAAACATATTAATAAAACACAGGGCACTTTCACAGAGCGTGTACAGAGTGCAGTTCACAACAAGATGTTTATATTCAGACAACTGAACTAGCAGTAACATCCACTATGTATTAAAGAATCACATGAAATTCCTCATTTAAATGGTTTCCCACTGTATACCGGAAAAAACGAAAGGCCTCTTAAATTAAGACACAAGAATAATATATCACACAAAAGAACTGGCACTGTACAATTGGCTGTACAATCTCAGGAGAATATATAGTTGACCAGAGAGAAGTGCTACTGGACATGTGATTGCACTGGAGGTCTCATTTGTATTTCTGAATTTCTCTTCCTTGCCCAGTGGTTAAACGTTGGAACAATTGTTTTCTGGTTTTTATTTCATATTTTGTATATGTATGATTGTATATATTTTTACATATCAGCCAACATGTTCTATTTGTATTAGACCTCTGAGGAAGGCCTGTAAAGGCCGAAACGCTAGGTCTATTTCATCAGTCTTTGTATGTTTATATATATATACCGTGCCCTAAATAGCTAGGTTATATGCCAATGGAGACCGTGCTGGAGACTGGCTGTTGGGAGAAGGGGTAGTATGCCCACTGACCTCAATAATAGACTTTGGAACTGGTTCTTTTGGCTTCTTCTAAGCCGGCCCTATCAATTCCAAGTGAGTCGGATTTGTCGATACTGAGCGCTGGCTTTTGTGTTTCTTTGGAGGTGGTTCCAAAGAAGACCTGGCTGTGGCGGGCCTCGCGCTGAAGCTGGGGGCGGGGGGGAGCACCGAGGCCCGGCGGCTTGGCCGCGCGGGCCTCGCGCTGAAGCTGGGGGCGGGGGGGAGCACCAAGGCCCGGCGGCCAGAAGCCGCGCGGGCCTCGCGCTCAAGCTGGGGCCTCCCCCGCCCACGAGTATCGCGGGTCCACCTCTTGTATATATATATTTGTGTGTGTGTATATATATATATTTGTATATGAGGTATGAATGGGCCCTTCTTTGTTATTTTAATTTGTGTTTAATAAATACATGTACATTTTTGTATGATTTTTTTAGAGTTGGCCCTCTTCTATTCTTGACTAACCTTTTTAGGTTCTGAATTCTAGGTTTTAGGTTCAGTTTTTTCCCCTTCTCCCTTCTTGTTCCCACTGCTTCTTTGGTAGAACATTTCTTAGAGCACACTCACAAACCCATAGACTTTTTGTTTTGGGTTATTATATTTAAATGTAACAGACAGGATGACAGAATTCTGTTGAGGAAAGAGGCTGAATGGAAACTGGGAACTCTCTACCCTAAAGGGTTAAGTGAGAACATCTCTTGGCAGGCGCTCATGTAGATAGAAGCTAAGACATGCCCAGGAAGCTCCCTCTGCTGAAAGGCACATATGGGGAACAGATCTAAAAAGAATCTGTAAGGTCAGTATGAGTCTTAAATAATTTAAATGAAAAATTTCATGTGATTCTTTAACATGTAGTAGATATTACTGCCAGTTCAGTTGTCTGAACATAGATATCTTATTGTGAATTGAACTCTGTACATGCTCTGTGAAAATGCCCTGTGTTTTATGATGTATTATATGTACTTTTACATTTGTATTATTTTGGTAGATTCCCCCTGACGAAGCTGCACACGAAACATGTTGGGGTTACACAATCATTCAAGATTCTTTCCTTTGCGCCATTTGTTTTCTCACCTTCTTTCTGAAAACTATGCAAAACTTTAAGAGGGCTTTTCTGCGCAGATAAAAGGGTTACAGGAAGGAAGGTGGCACAGTGCAGCCCGATCTGGTCAGATCTCAAAAGCTTAGCAGGGTCAGCCCTGGTTATTACTTGGATGGGAGGCCAACAAGGAAGACTGCAGAGGCAGGCAATGGCAAACCAACTCTGCTTCTTGTTTCTGTTGCTCTGGGTTTTTCCTCATTCCACACATACTTTATTCCTTCTAGTGGTTGATTTGCATCGTTTTATGTCCAGCATAAAAACCTCCAGTTTAAATCTGCAGGGAGATACGCCAGATAGGTGTAATATCGGATCGGCCACTAGAGGGAGCAAAACATGTGCCGAAGACAGAATAACCCAAAGCAGCAAGAACACACAAGCAAGGAAAATTAGAAAGCAGAAAAACCGATATTGGAGAAAGAGAACAGGGACGTTTTCCTTGAAGAGAAGAGATGCAGGCATTTGGGCCAGTATGCTGGGTGCTGCAGAGGACATCGAATCAAGACAATCCCATGTGGCAGTTTCTGGTCTATCTAGCCAAGGTCGCCATCTTTCAGACTTCACTGCCCTACCTGCTGGGGCTTGCTTGCTGTCTGCCTTCCACCTAAAAACAGAGATCTCTTTCCAAACCTATAATCCTTCTTGACCAATCACTTACCAGCTTCTGTGCTGAACTCTGTATTGTTGAAGGTATATGACAAACTGCTCCTCAGTCTTTTCAATGAATAGTCCATGGGACCCCCAACTTCCTGCAGTGTGAAGTCTAAAATTATCGAGACAGGAACCTAAGAGTAAGCCTTGAGCAATGTCCTCTTATGTCCAATCTAATCAATCTTTATTGCATTTGCAAAAAAATAATAATCAAGGCAACAGGACAAAGTAAAATGCTAATGTCCAACATGATAAATAATAATAATAATAATATTAACAACAACAACAACAACAACAACAACAACAACAATAATAATAATAATAATAATAATAATAATAATAATATAACAACAACAACAACAACAATAAAGAATCTGACATTTTGACAGAAAGTATTAAAACACAAAGTCATCATTAAAAATACATCTAATAAGAAGAAAGGAAGACCAGACAGTCCAGAGACAAATTAGAAATGACTCGTGGCACTCAATGAAATTGCTGAGCGGCTGGGTTAGAACGGATAAAAGGAAGTCCTTCTTCACCCAAAGAGTGATGCACACATGGAATTCACTGCCAGAGGAGGTGGTGGCAGCTACAGGCATGGACGGCTTCAAGAGGGAATTAGATAAGCATATGGAGCAGAGGTCCATCAGTGGCTATTAGCCACAAGGTATAGATAGGGACTCTGGGGCAAGGGATGCTCTGTATTCTTGGTGCTTGGGGGGGGGTCAACAGTGGGAGGGCTTCTAATGTCCTGGCACCACTGCTGGACTGCCTGATGGCCCCTGGTATTTCTGGCCACTGTGTGACACAGAGTGTTGGACTGGATGGGCCACTGGCCTGATCCAACTCTGGCTTCTCTTATGTTCTTATGAGGGACCCAGAGTGGACCAGTCAAAGATGTGCGGGCGATCTGGCTCCCCCTCACTGGCAGGCTTTGAGCAGCGGCTGGACAAACACTTGTCAGGGATGCTCTAGGCTGGTCCTGCATTGAGCAGGGGGTGGGACTAGATGGCCTGTAGGCCCCCTTCAAACTCTCTGATTCTATCATCTGTCACCCCATTGATCACCAGTGTAGATTTGGCTGCTCTGGCTTGCTAGGCGGGTGTGCCCGACCTCCCCAGGTGCATCCCTCCCAAAACTGCATGCTTGGCGGAAGAAGACGACTATCCCAGATAGCGGGAGTGTACTGTTCTTGGGTCCTCCTGTGTCATTCTTTCCATTCTGCCACCAACCCATTTTAAGATGAAGTCACGGGCTGGTTCCAAGGGATGATAACACTGGTTTGGACTCTTAGCACAGATTTAGAACCACTTTGGTATAGTGGTTAAGTGTGTGGACTCTAATCTGGGAGGACCGGGTTTGATTCCCCACTCCTCCACATGCAGCAGCTGGTGTGACCTTGGGTCAGTCACAAGTTCTCTCAGAGCTGTCCTTGAAAGACCAGTTCTGGAAAGAGCTCTCTCAGCCCCACCTACCTCACAGGGTGTCTGTTGTGGGGAGGGGAAGGAGAAGGAGTTTGTAAGTGGCTCTGAGATTCCGAGTGAAGGGCGGGGTATAAATCCAATCTCTTCTTCTTCTTCTTTATGCTCTTAAACCAGGGGAAGGGCGGGGTATAAATCCAATCTCTTCTTCTTCTTTATGCTCTTAAACCAGGGGCTTCCTGAACTAAGACAAAAATGTGTGAGCCGGAGGCTAAGAACCCTGTGAGCGAGCTCACACTAACTCAGCTTAGAGGGAACTCTGCTTGGCACTCCATTCTTCTTAACGACTGGACCATGAGGGCGAGTACCATGCCCTGCCAGATACGTTCGGAGAACATGTTGTGCAAAAATACGCATTCTGGCCACGACCGTGCAGGCTACGCAAATCCCGTGACCCGTTCTTCATGGACTGAACACAGTAGGAGAAAAGAGATATCAAAGCCTATCAGAGAGCCATTTGGGGAAGATGAACGGGTGGCTAGCAAGAAGAGCGGAACTTACATACAATGGTCATGACGAGTATTGTGAGAATGCTCAGTATAGCTACGGCCATGCAGAGTACATAAATCAGGATCTGTTTGATGGTGAGGGTCCCAGGTGGAACTGGTGCTTTCGGTGCCTTGGCTGGCGCTTTGGCTGCTGGCTTTGCCTTTGGATCTGGTTTTCCTTTCGGGGCCATGGCTTGAATGGAAAAGCAGCAAAGGAAACCTGCGAAGGGGACACAGCAGAGGAGAAAAACAGTCATGAGGCCCACCGTTGGATTTCTTTAGGGTTTCCCAGCTCCAAGTGGGGGTGTGTGTGTGTGATCTCCTGAAATTACAGCTGATCTCCAGATGACAGAGGATCAGTTCCCCTGGAGAAAATGGCTGCTTTGGAGGGTGGACTCTATGGCATTATACCTTACTGAAGACCCTCCCCTCCCCAAACCCCACCCTCCCCAGGCTCCAGGCCCAGGAATTTCCCCAACTGGAGCTGGAAACCCTACGTTTCTTCTTCTGGAGTTTTCCCAGGTGAGCACTGAGAGATGTACGAGCGTTCATCAGTTGCTGAGCTGGGGGGACCACTCCTTACCCACAGGGTTCTGGCTGTGATCAACCAGACCTCAGTCCACAAGCCCACGTTAGCAATGACGGAGGCACTTTCACACATACCGAATAATGCACTTTCGATTCATTTTCAGTGCACTTTGCAACTGGATATTAGAGGAGGAGGAGGAGGAGATTGGATTTATTTATACCCCGCCCTTCACTACCCAAAGGTGTCTCAGAGCGGCTTACAAACTCCTTCCCCTTCCTCTCCCCACAACAGACACCCTGTGAGGTAGGTGGGGCTGAGAGAACTCTGACAGAGACTGCTCTTTTTCAAGAACAGCTGTGCCAGAATTATGGCTTTGCCCAAGGTCATCCAGCCTGGTGCAAGTGGAGGAGTGGGGGAATCAAACCCGGTTCTCCCAGATTAGAGTCCACACACTTACCCACTACACCAAACCGTGTGAAACGGCAAAATCGTCTTGCAAACGACAGCTAAAGTGCATTGAAAGTGGATACTGCACTTTCGATCCATTTTCAGTGCACTTTGCAACTGGATTTTACTGTGTGAAACGGCAACATCCGCTTGCAAATGATAGCGAAAGTGCATTGAAAGTGGATAATTTTTCTGGAGTTCTTCTGGAGTTCTTCTGGAGTTTTCCCAGGTGAGCACTGAGAGATGTACGAGCGTTCATCAGTTGCTGAGCTGGGGGGACCACTCCTTACCCACAGGGTTCTGGCTGTGATCAACCAGACCTTGGTCCACAAGCCCACGTTAGCAAGGATGGAGGCACGTTCACACACACTGAATAATGCACTTTCGATCCATTTTCAGTGCACTTTGCAACTGGAGTTTACTGTGTGAAATGGCAAAATCTGCTTGCAAACGATAGCTAAAGTGCATTGAAAGTGGATTGAAAATGCATTATTCAGCACATGTGAAAGCGCGCTGGGACTGGTAGGTTGGTAAAAAGGGGTCTTTCCCCATCCTGTTGAATTCCTTGCCCCGGCAGGTTTATTGGACCCTCTCCCCTTCTACCAACCTGTCAGAAAGTTATGAAAATTATTTTAATCTTGACAACATTTCGGTGAAGTTTAGGGGACTCCCTTTTGCAGCCTGCTTCATTTTTGAAAAATAAAAATAAAAGCCAATCCAATCCAATTTATTGGCATAAAAAAAGAAGAAAGCTACAACATGGCAAAGTTACAGAGAATTTCAATTATCAAATCAATCGGGCATCAGATAGGAGAGCTAATCTTTTGCTCCCTGATAGTTATGGCAGCCGAAAGGTACCTTGCAACTAAACTCATAATATGGGAACATCAGTCAGAAAACACGGCCCTAACCGGGGGCCGGCCGAACTGCGCATGTCTGAGCATGCACAGTTCGGATCCGGGCCGGGGTTGTGCCGGCGCAAAGACGCGCCGGCGATCAAACGCCCAGTTAGAAGCGCCTCTTCCATTTGAACCACCTAAGGTAGGTGGTTCGGTTTGAGGCGGATTTCTGCGGGGAAGGGACAGTTCGGCCACGGAAGCAAGACGCTTCCCAGATGTTGTGGTGTGATCGCGCCAGTTTGATCCGGCCCCGAACTGTCCCGCTCCCAGCTCAAATCGGCCAGTGTGAACGGGACCTAACTTCGCCTCAGGTAAACCGTGAAAGTTAGACACAATAGGTTTGATTATACAGTCACATACTTCCCCATAAAAATCACTATGAAGTAAAACATGGGCTACCGTTTCGAGGTGCCTTCCTTTGCATGGGCAGATTCTTTCTTGATAGGGAATGCTGGCAAACCTCCCAGACAATGCCGCTGAGGGTAAAACATTGAGTCTTGCTAATATAAAAGAACAACATAACTGGGGTGAGGTAATCCGGGAAAGGTAGGCAACAGGCAGTCCATAGTTCGGAAAGATTCTAAATGTCAAGGGGGAGCAAGTTTTGTGTTCAAGAGAAGAGAAAGTCTGTTTCTCAATATCTAAAATCCTCTGTTTCAAAGTTCTGAATTGCCTGTGTTTCACTTAACATAAAGAGGTTGTCCAAAGAGACACCTATAGAATGTATTTTCTTCTGAATCTGACTATACCAATTCTCACCCTTTTGGCTAAGATCAGCGTAAACATTATCTAGATTACAGTCATCTGTTCTTATCAGTTTAAAATAAAAGCAACATAAGACTATTCCTGCTTTCCGTATGAATGAGCATCATTAGGACTTCCCAAGGTGGTTGCTAAGTGAGGAGAGACACAAAGTCCTCCTTTCATCTCACCCACCTCTGTCTGTGCATGTTCTAGGGTTGCCAGCTGCCAAGGGTAGCAGTCAATCCCCTGCCACCACACCCAGTCGCCCACCACCAATCAGTGCTGTGGCAGGAGGAGGAGGGGGAGAGAAATGGCATTGCCAACACCCTGACATAATTTCCTGGTGAAAACCTAGAAGCAACATCACATGTGTATGTGCACACACACACATACACACGCTCTCAGAATTCCAGCAATCTCTATGGTCTTTACCATAGAGATGTATAGGGTTCCTAGAGGGAACACTTGGAAGCGATGATCCATGTTCCTTCGAAGCCCCGTAGTGTTGTGAGCCGAAATTCTACCGCGTGAGCGAAAAATGCCAGCAGCATTAATGTTGTTAGCGAGTCCGCATTTGAATATCGCATAAATTAGTTTTTTAGATCATTTCCATAGCCTTGTGAAAACCTCAGAATGAATTCTTTTAAACTATATTTAAACTATATTTTAAGAATAATCTGAACATAATAAGAGAAAACAGAATCAAGTCAAATTTCATTAGAGAAAATATTGTCCTCTATGAGGGTAGATGGGGTATATGTGGTGCTGGAAGCCCCCAGTTTTTTGAGGCAGAGGCACCAAATTTGCCACATAGCTGCTGGTGCCTCTCTTCAAACCTCTCCCCAAGTTTCAAAAAGATTGGACCAGGGTGTCCAATTCTATAGGCCCCAGAAGGAAGTTCCCACATCCTCCATTCCCACATCCTCCAATGGAGGGGGAACTGCCTTAGTGTGAGCAGAAGCCTAAAATCCCTGAGCTGGAGCTAAACTTTTGTGTGCCAGCGCCCCCTAGCGAAGCTTAGAGGGAACTCCGGTGATGATACTTGCAAACCCCCCCCCCCCCTGATGCTCTGAGAATCCCACCAATCTTTATGGTCTTTAAAATAGAGAGTACCTCACGGTGCCTGTGATGTCACTTCCAGGTTTTCTCCCAGATTGTGAGAGGGACGGTAGAATGATGTCACGATGCTGGTGGAACCGTCTTCCAGGGCTCCACTGGTTGTATTTATTTTCTGTTCATGGGTAGAACCTCGATAGCTATACAAAACAGTCCGGCAGTCTCTGAAGGGGAGGACAGAGCACACAAAAAAACTGGCCTGCTAGAACTTTGGCTGACCCCTTCCTAAGTGGAGTGAACACACACAAACACACACCTGAAACCACCTTATACTGACTCAGACCCTCGGCCCATCAAGGTCAGAATTGCCTACTCAGCCTGGCAGCAGCCCTCCAGGGTCTCAGGCAGAGGTCTTTCCCATCACCTACTGCCAGATCGTTTTTGAATGGGAGACGCCGGGGATTGAACCGGGGACCTTCTGCATGCCAAGCAGAGACTCTTCCACTGAGCCACATCCCCTCTTTACAGCTCTCCAGGGTCTCAGGCAGAGGTCTTTCCCATCACCTACTGCCAGATCGTTTTTGAATGGGAGACGCCGGGGATTGAACCGGGGACCTTCTGCATGCCAAGCAGATGCTCTGTTGCAGAGCCACGGCCCTCCCCCCTGAGCCTTGGAATGGTAGCCATTCCCCCATTACAGAGAATGCAGGAAATGCTTTGCCTTTCCCCCTTGGTTTTATTTATGGGGCAAGGCTTCCTACGGGGGAGAGATTATGTTTGGGTCACAAAGCCTCGATCTCTATGTCCTCCCCCACCTGGGTCCTGCTTGATAGCTAGAACATCACAGGTAAGCAGTGAATCTAGAGAAGAAGAAGAAGAAGAAGAAGAAGAAGAAGAAGAAGAAGAAGAAGAAGAAGAAGAAGATTGGATGTATACCTCAAACTTCACTCAGTCTCCGATTGGCTTACAAACTCCTTCCCCTTCCCCTCCCCACAACAGATACCCTGTGAGGTAGGTGGGGCTGAGAGAGCTCTTTCTAGAACTGCCCTTTCAAGGACAGCTCTGATAGAACTATGGCTTCCCCAAGGTCATACAGCAGCTGCAAGTGGAGGAGTGTGGAATCAAACCCGGTTCTCCCAGATTAGAGTCTGCGCATTTAACCACTACACCAAACTGGCTCTTAAGCAGAAAGGAGAGCCTTCATGTTTAGCCTGGAAAGGAGGTGACTGAGAGGTGATATGATAACCATCTTCAAGTACTCGAAGGGCTGTCATATAGAGGATGGGGTGGAATTGTTTTCTGTTGCCCTAGAAGGTTGGACCAGAACCAACAGGTTGAAACTAAATCAAAAGAGCTGTTGACTAAGGACTTCCTGACGGTTAGAGCGG